TGGTAGCTTACGGGTCCTTGTTAAAATGCAGATTTCCTGGCCCTCTGTGGGCAGCGCTCAAGCTCCCCCATGATCTGAAGCAGGAAGTTCCGAAACACAGGAACAGAGGAGCTGGCTCTTTCTCCCGGCCTTGGTGGCACAAGGCGACTTCCATCCCCTTTGCCAATGTCAGAGGCAGGGCCCTGGCCCAAGGGCGACATTCCCAACATTTTTGTGAAAGCCTCTGAAGACGTGCAGGGCCAAAGTTTCAGCGCTGGACGGCCTTGAGAAGGGTTTAGTACAGCCCTCTCATTGTGCAGATGGGGAAACCGAGTCTCAGGAAGGTTCAACTATATGAAGGACCATTTCCCTCCCACCTTCTCCCCATCCCTAAGAGAAAGCCCTGGGTCCTCTTCAAGAGAAGACAGCTGACCCCAACCAGGCAAAACTGCCTGCCTGGCTCAGCACCAGCCACCTCCCCCACTTTGAAGCTCTCCGGCAGACTGATCAGCTATGGAAACACCTGCCCTCTGATTCAATAAAAACCCTAGGATCTTCATAACTCAGGGATTCTGCAGATTGTCTAGCCTGCACGCAAAGCAGAAAGTTCTTCAACAACTGCTAAATCTCTATCACTCACCCGACTCACAACTCTCCCAAATTCCAGACTCTTTGTACCTCTTATCTGCATTGAGGTCCAAGGGCTCGCTCGCTTCCCCCACAGCTCTTCACTTGTACACTTTTTTGTCTCAGCAAACGGAAGTCCTCCTTTCAGTCCTTCAGGCCAAAATTCATTGACCCTCACCCCACCCCCCAGCTATATTCAACACACAGCTAGAGGAACTTTAAAAAGAAAAAAAAGTCTGATCACGCCGCCGTTCCCTCCCTTTGCTCAGAACCTCCCACTGGCTCCCCATTTCACTCAGAATAAAAGCCATAGTTTGAATAATGGCTCGCAAGGCCCTATGTGATCTCCGCCCTCACTCCTCCTTACCTCTCTCTCTCTTTTTTTTTAAAGATTTTATTTATTTGAGAGAGAGAATGAGAGAGAGAGCATGAGAGGGGGGAGGGTCAGAGGGAGAAGCAGACTCCCCGCTGAGCGGGGAGCCCGAGGCAGGACTCGATCCCGGGACTCCAGGATCATGACCTGAGCCAAAGGCAGTCGCTTAACCAACTGAGCCACCCAGGCACCCTCCTCCTTACCTCTCTTACGTATTTCCACCACGCTCTCCTTACCCGTTCTGCTCCAGCCTCACGGTTTGTACTGGCTATTCCCTACCCCGGGAACACTGTTCCCCCAAATATTCACGGGGTTACTCCCTCCAGGTCTTTGTACAAATGCCACCTCATCAGCAAGGCTTTCTCTGATCATTTAGAATTTGATTCCCTCTTCCCTCCACCCCTGCACTCCGTCCCTATTCTCCTAATATTTAGGACTTGTGAACATACAGTATAATTTACTTCTTTATTGTACTATTGCTTTATCTATCTACCTCCAGTAGAATGGCAGCCCCATGAGAGTAGAGATTTTTGTCAGTTTTGTTCACGGACATATCCCCTAGAGCCTGAAACAGTGCATACTGCCAGCACTCTGGAGGCAAATACTTCTTGAAGGAATGAAGGAACACATTCTGCAGGTGATGGCCTTATCTGAATCCCGCGCCTCAGAAGGCCCTACCCGTTGGTCTCAGTGCTGCTTTCTGAGCCACAAGCCTACAAGTGTATTCACATTTTCAGAAGACCATCCCTGTCATCTATTATGTGGTTTCCCATAATGCCTAAAAATGCCCTCTTCTGCCTAAACATGTCCAGGCTCTCCAGCTAATCTTTCGTCCCGGGCCCACCCTGGTTGCCATTTTCCCTTCGCGTGAGCCTCCCCTACCCATCCCCCCCCCCGCCAGGAGGGCTCAAGGCAGCCCCCAATGGATGGGCTGAAGGAGAAACCAAGGGGTCATCCTGATGGTGGGGACAGGCTGCCATGCCAGGGGGGTTTCCCTCCCTCCACACAGAGGAGTCTCGGTACTCCCCAGCAAGGGGATTTCTACTCAGGGACAGACTGGGTGGACTTGCCCCAGGGAAGGACCAAGAATGGGACAGGATTCTGATGGAGACGTTTCTTGTCTTGGTTTCAGAAGGCCCTTCCTGTCTCCCAGTTGCCCCCCGCCTCGCTCCCTCACCCGCCCCCCCCCAAGTCTGTTGTCTCGGTTATTCACATTCCGGAAGCGCTGATGTGGCACTAAATATTCCTAGGGCTCCAGCCTTCCGCCCCGGGGGGCCCGGCGTCATCTCTCTGAGCCTGCTTTCTGGAATGTTTTTGGTATGAAGCTCCCTAGCAGGTAAGGAGAAGGGCCCTGCTGCATGGACTCTGCAGCCCAGAGTCTGGGTCTCTTCGGAGCAGGGGTAACAGACCTTCTCTTACCACCTAGATTCTTCCCCAGCAGCCTTCCCCCATGCCCCCCCCTCTCCTGCCTAGCGCTCCCACCCCGACTTCGAAGACACTAAGCAAACAGACCCCCGAGGAGGACAAAGACCTCAGGACAAAACACCTCTGTTCCCTCTCCTTCCCAGAAATTCCACGCACCCCACCCCCTTCCCAGATATGCTGATAGGACAGGGCTGCCGGGGCTGTGGCCTCCCCCTCCCCCACACGGCCAGTTTCCCTCCACTGTGGC